CAGCACTGACCCTATGTACGTTCAATAACTGAGAGAAGTAGATCCTCCACCTGTTCAGAATGTTGTGGGAATCTGCAAGCAGATCACCATTCTCATCCTTCACTAAGTTACTTCTAGGTTGGTAATCCCTCTTAAACTCATTTATTCCTCTATACAGGTCTCTTATGTTCTTGTGCTTACTGTTCATTGCAGGCTCATCAATTTTGTCTTTCAGATATTCCTTCTTTTCTTCCTGAAATGCCTCGTGGCTGAAAGGGACCATAAAATAACTTCTAAGAAACTTGCATTTGAAACCTGTGAATTGTTGCTTGTAATGCCGTTTTTGTAAAATTTCCAGTTGGCAGTTGCTAATAAAGATATCAAAACAGCATAATCTATGTCTATAGTCTATAGTCGATAGTCTATAATATTCCTTTCAGTGTTTGAGTATTCTATAAGATTTTCATAATTCTACTTTGTGAACATCCAGCTCCTTGTGTAAAAAATGTGACTGCAAATAAAATATTTGTTATTCTCTTCCATAAATGTTCTATAGTCCTTGCTCTGGAAAGTGTTCTTCATTATGTCACATATTCTTTCCATTAAACTATTTACATCTCCAGGTTTCTCTTTCCTTTTCATATAAAGCCATAATAATTTGCTGCATAAAACTACAGAAATGAATAATTAATTTTTGAAACAATAATTAATATTTCAAATTATTTGATCTGCAATGCAGTGTATTTCCTGTTCCCTAAAAAACTCTCTATTCATTCAGAACACCAAAGTTTTCCAGTCATTCAACTAAGAAATCCCATGCATGGACTTAAGGTGAAAATATATAGGCTTCTTGTCAACCTTATGTTTATTTTAATATTGTGCTTGCCATATTCATGATGTGTGCCTCTCCTTTCTCTCTGCTTAAAATTTTTCTATAACTTTCATCTGGTGGAATGATTAAGTTGTTTGGGATTTTGTGTTATATAAACTGTATTGTATAAATATAAGCTCATGATTGTTTTACAACCTCTTATATTTTATCCATATATATGTGTATCATGATAATAATGATTAATTTGCAGTTATGAATAATAACTGGCTATATGTATGATTTCCATTTGCTAATTTTGTATAATAGCTGGTTATTATTTGTAACAACCTATATGACCGGTAGTTTATTTCATTAGCATTGTATGAAGCAGCATTTTCCAGTTGCACATCCATGGAAGTCATGTACAGTTAAAACCAGCTGTTAAGAATAAAGATATTCTTCATAGAAGAGAATGAGCATGTTGTGTTCATGATGCCACTTATACTGTATGGTGATGAATCTTTATTAGGCTACTGATACCAGAACATCAGCTAGGCGAGACTATAACTGAAAGTTATGAACTTGCTTTCATTCTAAACAAGGTACCAAACTTTGATAAATCAAATATAATCTGTAATATATATTATAACCATGGGATCCAGTCTTTGGCAACAATTACCACACATTATAAGTTTGGTTTTTTTATTGCTAGTGGGGTGGGACTAAGTCCCTTGTACTGTGGCCACTCCTGGCCTATTGTACTAGCCCCAGATGATAGGTGAGGGTGATCATGGAGCAATTGGTGGAATGAAGATTAGCAGGGGAAACCAAAGTACTCAGAGAAAATCTGCCCCAGCGCCACTTTGTCCACCACAAATCCCACTTGAGCAGACCTGGCATCGAACCCACGCTGCCGCGATGGGAAGCCAGTGACTAACCGCTTGAGCTATGGTGAATTCCAGGTGAATGTCAAGACAACATATTGAAGCAGGCCAAAGCCACGTATATTATTGAACATCTAAGGGAAGTTCCCTTGACATTGGCAACATATCACAGTCTTCATCCACAACCAAATATTAGACCAGGTACAAAATTGAAGTTAAATACAGACAGCCGTTGTTTTTCCCCTTCATTCAGGATCAAGATTCTCACATCTGTTTGCAGTACCCTTCATGTTTGGCATGCTTGCAACAGAAAATTACAAAAGTGTAACTTTTAACTTCACCAAGCCTATGTGTCTGTCTATCCACTGTACAAGTGGATATCCTTGAAACTTGATACTGGGGAACTTTATTAATTTGTTGACACATTCAAATTTTATTTAAAATCAAATTATAATTGCAAATAATTTACATGAAGACCTACATACATATCTGTGTGCAACTTTCTAATCATTTATCAGAGTGAAAAATGTTTCAAAAAACTACACTGAACTCCATTTAAAAGGACATTAGAAGACTTTTCTGTTTTAAATGTTAAAATAATCTAGTGCCAAATAATTTCTCATAATGAGATTGTTACAGATTCATCTTTACAGATATCCAGAATAAAATGATAGTTTATTGAGTTTTCATTTTTAAGTGATGACGCTGAGTTTTAGCAGGTTTCTTTTCCAGTTGTTAGATAAATCAACAGGAGATCTAGCCCTCATATTTATAATAGCTGTACCATAAGGTTTATATTTTAACTGATGGATCTGTAAGTGTTCACCAATGGGAATCGACATTTAGACACAAAAGGCCTTTGTATGACCCTGGCCTTATGAGAGCCATTTGTATCTTGTTTACCCTTTGGGTTCTTGTTGTAGTAAATGATTTGTCATTTGCAATATCAGACATATTTATCCTCAAAATAAAAGTATAGGCCTTTGGAGGAGGTTTCTTCTTTTAAATGTAATTTCTCACACGTTCATTTCCACTAGTTGGAGCCTAAGAATTTTCAAGAGCTTTAGTCTCTCAGAGAACTAGATTTTCTCCATGAAGTCTGCTCACTTCTTCATAAAATTTACGAAACTAGCCCATTGCAACACATTGTCATCCTTAAAAACTGAAATGCATATTAAAATTTAATTTTACTTTACGAGGATAAAGCAGAAAATTAAAGAATTCAATCAAAAATACAAAAGTCAATAGAAATTGAGATTTAAAAGTACTGTGAAATATGTCCTCATGGTTCAAATGTTATTAAAGTTGTTACATAAGAATATGTCAGGAAAATTAAATTAAAATTGTTGTCCTGCATTTGTCTGACTCTTAAGTTTGGGGAGCATTTGTAGGACAGCTTCTTAAATAAATGTGTGCAAATAAAGTAATTGATATTCAATAAGTGATTGATATAAATTCCCTGGGCACAATCAAAGCAAGGAACTCTTTACTAATCATGAGCATAAAACGGCCTGTGTTCATTCTTGTTCTGTTTTTTCATCAGTAGCTGTGAACCTTCAAGAACTGACAGCTAGACTAATAAAACTTTGCACAGAAAAATCCTGTGCTGAACTCTAAATGTACATAGTGTGGCAGATTTAAAACTGCAAAATTATGAGAGTCAGAATTCATATACTCTGAAATCACTTATCCCTCTTCCTCCTCAATAGCTCATATTTCATAAATAAATGTCATGAATTCAAGAAATGCAGTGTCATGCCTTCCAATAGGCGAACTGTAGGAACAGTAAATTTATTTGTACTCTTCTTCCCTCATTTCTCATAATTATGACACAAAAAATAAATTTTATGAATTTATATCAGACCTCCCCTCTATATAGGCAGAACAGGAGTTTGTTCAGTGTTACAATGAAGGCAAGTAGAAATATAAAAGATAACTCATTACTTAAAGCTTATATTTTACTTCTCTGTTTGTTGTTTATTTGCAGCAATATTTCAAAATATTCTCAGTGTAGTAGCAGGTAGCTAACTGTTTACTTCTGAACTCTCATCTAAGATACTACTGATTTCTTTCCAGAAATTTACTTATCCACTCATTTCAGAAATGTTGCATTTCATATGCATAATATCAAGAAATTAATCATCTTCCATGCAATGTTTCAACACTGTAAATACACATATTTAAGGTCTATGACAATAACTGTCTTACACGAAATAAAAGTAAGTAAATAAACAAAAGAAATTATGTCCCAATTCACACACCAGTTAAAAATTTTATGCAGATCTGCCAATCCTGTTCTGTTCAACAGGCCTGTTGTTATCGTACTGACATGTTTACAGTCTTCAGTTCTCTCTTCTGAAACCTTTCTGTTGTCTGTTTCTGTCAGGTGGTGCACATGCCCCTGGGCTTGTGAATGGGCCTGCGCTCCCCTTGCTTCTCCTATCTCTGTGCTTTGCCCTTCTGCTCTCATGATGAGAAAAAGAGCAATGCTTACAAGAGAGAGAGAGAGAGCGCATGTGAAACTAAGGCAACGTGTGAGTGCTCATTTGTTGCTTGCTGAACATAATTATTTCATTTGTAAAGTGCATAGAAGCATAAACTAATTCATGATATAAACTGAACTTTTTTAAAGTAATTAAGTTAAAATTGCAGCAGTGACTAATTCCTTCACTGTGGTCAGTCCAAAAATACCTGTGCTGCTGCAGTTATTATTAACACTGCCATAATCTGTCTGCTTTCATGCATTTGGACACTAGCTTTTCTTTCCTTCTTTTCCCGTAAGCATTTCCTAAATGTGTTGCATACTATATTTATCTATGTAATAGAAGCATGGATCACCTATGTGTTATGCTGAATAGTTTATAGGTCTGGATAAAATGGGTCTGCACCTACAGTTTTGATGTTTTATGTTTCTCTTGTAACTTTATGTATTTTGTACTTGTATATCTGTGTATTTATCATACCCTGATATTTTAAAATTAGTTCTTAAGTATTTACAGTCAAAACTGAATCATGTATTGTAAAGAACTTAGTCTCATGACTGAGCTGCTGCCCTCAAAGATGTTTTACTGAAATTCATTAACTGAAAATGCAGAATCTAATCATATAAATAAGAAAAAATTCAAAACATAAATTCCTGTGCAGATATAGAGCTTATACAATCTGAACACAAAATTTACATTAAAATGCTTAGGGAGTGGAGCATTAAAAGCAGTGTCCCATTTTATTCTGTTCAGAGAATACATCAGTATATAATAATTTAAATTTTTAATTATGTACTTGGCAGAAACTGCATGTATTTTACAGATAAACTAACTAACTTTCAGGTATAGTGGAGGTTCCAGTTGACCCATTCAAACTTTTGGGTGTTGCATTATGTGTGGGCGGTGTGTTAGCCTTGGGTTTATGTGTGTGGTGTCATCGCAAGCATCAACGCAGGCGGCGACAATTAGCTCGTCTCCGGCGCAACACCATAGGGTCTAGCCGACGCCAGCTCAGTACTGGTAGTTCCAACAGAAGACAACATGTATGCGATGAGCTGGGTGAACGGTTTGCCAGTGTTGACAGCGTCTGATAGTAGGAAGAGACATGAAAGCATTTGAGGTTACATATGATGCATGGATTTTGGTTCCTTGCACAGAAGTACAGAATAAATAGACTCATTTGTTATGTACTAACAGAATTTTCAGTGAAAGGACAAAGGATATATACTTTGAAAACAGAAGGATTTTGTTAGCATTTAACAAACTATACCAAAGTGCAACGAGTGATCCCACAAGCGAACAAATTAATATTATGTGGGTCATAATGTGGAATTCATGAACTGTATTGTAAAACTTGCTAGAAACAAATTAGTAATATTTATAAAATACTCAAGCTCACATATGAAGGACATGAACTTGGTAGAAAATTAATGTTTTAAGAAATACTTTTTGGACTGCAGTTTTTTGTGTGGGAGCATAGGATTGAAAAGTTTGCCATAAGAATCCTGTTAAGGTGCCAGAATTTGCTAGTACTCAATTAACAAAGCTCACATTTCTTGGGGGTTGTATACATAAATTTAGAGTCAAGCACTGGAAGCAGTACATTCAAGTATTTTTCCTTTAATTTGAACATTGGTTATGGTATTAATATAAAACAAACTATTTATTATGGAAGGAAGAACAGTATGTTTCTGCAAAGCTTTTATGAACTTGGGTAATTACCTGCCTAACACAGGATCCTTTACACCTTGCTTGAAATTAGTTACTTTTCAGTTTAAGGGAAATAAATAAAAAAAATATTGTGATGTTATTACCAAATTGGCTCCTTCCAATGCTTGATTATGCAATGTATCAGCACTTTAATAAACATTTCTGGATGCAAGTTTTAATGACCGATGTCTGTTATCAAGGCATGCAAGTGTGTGAAAGGATCAACAAAAATCTTTTGAGAATTTGCCAATTATTGTAAGTTGCCTGGAAAGGGGTGCTCTTCTCTGAAAAAAATTATTTTAAAATATAACTCAAATCTGTAGGTATAGAAGGATTAGTGTGATTTCAACACTAATGAACTAAAAATATAATACTAATACTACTATTACTACTACTACTACTACTACTACTACTACTCCTACTCCTACTACTACCACTACTACTATTACTACCGCTAATAATAATATTAATAATAATAATATTAATTAATAATAAAAGGGAATGTATGTGAACTTTAGAAACCAATCGTTTTGACTCCAGCCAGTTTGCTGTTGCAATGACATGCAGATCATCTCACTATGCAGCAAGACAAGAGAAAGTGCACACTTTCAGTTCTTCCACCCTCCTCCCTCGCTTTTCAAGTGAGTGCATTGTATGGTTGCATCTTGTTTCGTTGGTGGTGCTAAGCCCAGTGTAAGTCCCCCATGGAGGATATGGTGAAGAAAGAGTCAAGTTTTAGGATGAGCAAGCATTTACAGTAATTTTAGAAGAACCTAGAATGTAAACATTCATGACAAGCATTAGCAAGCGAGTATGACTGGGTGCGTGCTTTCAACTACGCATGTATCCATATGCATACTACTGGTACGCAGACATATGCAGATGGAATGCCTGTGAATATGTGGTAGAATGCCTGAAATTATGAATCCTCACAAATATGTAATATTTGCCTGGATACATGAGAATGTGAAATGCATATGAAATTTATGCAAATAAGTTATCTTAGTAGTAATTGTTTAAAGGGTTTGATAAAATTTTGAATTTGTGCAGGTTTGTTAGTAATGTTCTTAAATTTTTATAAAGCTAACAAATTTGAACAATCTTATAGCAGAATGAAATCAGGATGTGTACTGTGGAGCGGTACTTGTGGAACCAGCAAAGTATCACAGTACTCGCAAACATATGTATTACCACCCAAGAATATTTTCTTAAAACGGTCACCAGTGGCACGTCCTGCACTCTTTTCACTTCCTTTGATAATAATATGATGAAACTGATTATGTAATTATTTTAAATCGTTTTGTTAATCTCTCTCAAAATATTTTTCCATACTTAAGAAAGCATTATATTCAAGGATCAGTAAATAAAATTTTTAGGTCTTGGCATAAAAGTATGTTTTTAGAGGAATTTTCAATACAGTTCTTTAAATCCATAATTATATTGTTGAAAATGAAGTGTTATCAGCATTCACATTGTACATTGCATAAACTAATGCCACTGGTGTGCCATGGGTGAAGTACTCAGTGATGGTTAAGGCCAGGGGGTGAGAATTTATTTTGTACTAGTTGCTAGTCTAACAGTATGGTTGGAGCAATTGACTGTTATCTTTTACTAGCCTCATGTTTTATAGCTGTTTAGTTGAGAGTTTCGTGAAAAAGTTTTTTTGAAAGATTTAATTGTACCTGAATGCTTCCTGCATTCAGAAGCAAAAGCAGTTATGGTGAATGATTTTGTTCTGCAACAGAGAACGTCAGAGAATGAACTATGGGAGTTTTGGAGAAGTCAGACAGTTGAATATGTAAGTGAAATGCAGCCTGCAGATTTCAAGAAAATTCTGTTGTGACTTTATATGACTATATGACTATGTTTGAATAGTCCCACAATAAACAGAAAGTTTCCTAGAGTATATTTCTATAGTTTTCTAGAGTTTCAACTACCACAACAGTTTGGTTTCTCAGTGTGCAAGAAACTACTATATTTAAGTAATCTTCACATAAATGACATGTAATTATTAATTATTAATGTCGGTGTTCTTTGATTTATACATTCCATGAATTTAATCATGGTACAATATGTGTTATGGGCACATGGTAGAGTAGTGGTTGAGGGGCTATGCTACAAGCCGAAAGGTTGCGGGTTCAAGTCCCGAAGAGGTCATGGGACTTTTTTCAGTTGACCTAACCCTTCCAGCCGCACTAGGCCCTGGGGTTTACTCAGCCTCTAACAGAAATGAGTACCAGGAATTAATTAAATAATCATGAGGAGTAAAGCGCTGCTGGCATGTAAGGCTGACAACCTTACCGCCATCTTTGAGCCAATTGTCTAGATGATGTGGGACCCTCAATGTCTCACAACCCTATGGGCCTTCATGGCCTGGTACAGGGATAGCTTTACTTTTATTTTTTTTTACAATATGTCTTAGAGTGTGCAGCAGAAAGAGCTCATTCACATTTCCTCAAAAATAATCCTGCCTTTATTTATATATTCAACTGCACTTTTCCAAAAAATAAAATAATTGCAATTATTGTAAGAAATTAAAATGTAGGTAGTCAAACATAACAACCATGGCGTGTTGTCTTGTATATGTCTTGTAGAGCAGCAAAAAACCAGAAAAAAAGAAAAAATAAGCCTGTCATTTTTTTGTTTGTATGTCGTATTTATTGGATTAAAAGTGCCACAACTACATCCTATACACTGAAAACGAATATTACTCTTCGTGAATCCAGTGGTATAGATCATGTAGCAGACAAGGATCATTTCAAATAGAGTTGATACTGTAACTTGTAGACAGAAATTCTGTCCATTAACTGAACTGGCATGTAGTAGGCTGTCAATTATAATATTGTGTTTAGAGCCTCCTTGTAAAAATGAAAGTAGCCATTAGTCTTCCAAGCTCTCAAATATGTAGAAATATTACATGATGTCTTCAAAATTATTAGACTATATTACATACATTTATTTTGTGTATTAAGTGAGCACATGGTTGTTATGTCAATGTATGTGATGTCCATTATCTGTATGGATTTGATTTCTCTGGATAATTTTTTTTAAATAAGCAGTATCAACTTTACTTGAACTGGAGCAAAATCACTTGTCAACAGCATTTATGAGAATTTTAGTAGTCAGATTTATTTCTGCCATATGAATCCAAACTAGTTCACAAAGAAATTCCATTGAGTTTCTCTTCTAACTCTCTCCTATCTTTTACTTTCATGGCATTTCCTATCCCACATGCCCTAGTCCTTCTTAGTGAACTGATACTCTTTGTTTGTTTGTTGTGTAAGTACATTTGTCATAACTAAATAATTGTAATAATAAGGACAAGACGGGTTAATGCAAAGCAAACACTGTAATATAATAAGTACTATATCAAATGCTCACAGCAGTTATAAATGAGTAATGATTCAATGATTTTATTATAGTGTCCAAGATATCAGTTATGATGCTGGTTGATTTCTGATGTAATCCATGGTTAATTTAATTCTAAATTATTATTATTATTATTATTATTATTATTATTATTATTATTATTATTATTAATTATATTTGTTTTGTTACTTGGTTACTTTCCTTTCAATGAATGGAGTTTACAGTGTGATACAGGATACTGTAATACATCATAAAAGTATTAAAAATAACACTTGGTCATAATAGAAAACAGTCTGGGACAAAATAATACATTTCTTTTGAGCAAAGTCAGTTTGGTTATTAAAAGAACCTCAAATTGAAATCACTGCCAGATGATCACCCTAAATATAATATTTATAAATAATAATATTTGGTGGTAAGGGAATTTATCATTGATGAAGGGGGTGTAATGGAACTAATCTGTCTTGTTTAATTTGTTCTTTAGGTAATCTGTTGTTCAGTAACATTTCCTGCCATATGCAGGACTGTCTGGAGCCGGTTGTTTTTTCCCCTTCATTTTCTTATATTTTCTATAAACAATATCAAATTTTGTCCACAACACACATAATTCAACATAATTACTGTATCAATCTGCAATTTCAAATCAGTACAAGTTAAAAAAAAAGAAATGTTTTGTGGCTCCATGGCCGAAGTAGGCTGTTGTGGATGGATGGATGACTCATTTATTTTACAATTAAAAATCCAAAGCATATCAAATTGCAGTTTTATTTCCATAAATAACCAGCAATAGCATTATGTGATGGATGTAAGTGTATGTATATATAAGCTTAAGTTAATATTAATACTACCACTAATGATGCATACTCTATTCAGTCCTCTTTTGTTTGCATATAAAAGGATGTGCAAGTTTATCAAATGGTTCAAATCACAATTTTTTCACACTAGTAGCAACTCTGTCATCCCTTTAACTAAGTTAGCTGTTACTGGCATTTGCTGAGAGTGTGCTTGAAGCACTCATAAAGTGTGTCTCGTATCATATCATCTTAATAGTCTTCTGAGTTTTGTACAATAATTCATAATTTTCTAACTTCTCATAATGCTGGAATGTCAAATGAGAGACTGCCACATAATTAGTCATGTCCTTGTAACAGATGTTTATGTGTTTCACAAAGGGCAGTTTCCTGACATTAATAATAACACTCATTTGTCATTAGCTAACAGTCAAGTAGGTATGAAAGATTTGTTTTGGATATATTAAAATGAAACTAAATCAAATGAATCCCAATTGTTCTGAGGTAATAATAATAAAAATCAAATAACAGGATCTTTAAAGTAAACTATACAGAGCTTAGATTAACACATGTACTAGTATTTAGGAATTAATATATAGACTCAACAAATATTAGTACTAACATACATGTAATTTAAAGTCCTGTTAATTGCTTTCTACTTTAATAACCTTAAATTTTAATATTCCTTTACCTCCCATTAGAACATTCCTGGATTACACATGCATGTGTAGTGCCTGAAATACCTTAGATTAACTCTGTAACCTCCATGTGTACCAAAACTACATCATCAGTTATCACTTCTGGTCCTTTGTTGATAACTTAACATAAAAAAAACTCTGTGGCTTTATTCCGCAAGTGAACTATACTGACTGAGCGACCGCCGCTTGTCGGCGAAGTTAGTGCCAACTTTAGTGGATAGAAGGTGTCACGTGGTCAGCACAGTGAATCCCCACAACCATTAATAATATAAGAAGTAAAGAAAAAAAGTAAACCTATCCCTGTAACAGGCCATGAAGGCCCATAGGGTTGTGAGATGTTGAGGGTCCCACATTATCTAGGCGGTAAGGTTATCAGCCTTACACACTGGCCGTGCTTTACTCCCAGGAAAATTATTTATTTAATTCCTGGTACTCATTTCTGTTAGAGGCTGAGTGAGGCTGGAAGGATTAGGTCAATTGAAAAAAATCTAGTGACCTCATCGGTATTTGAACCCGCTACCTTCCAACTTGTAGCATAGTGCCTTAACCACTGTGCTACCACATGCCTCCCATTAATAATATATCAGTTATAAATAAATGACGAATACTAATGGAATGATTCTGTATTTCAGCATCCCGTTGCAATTGTTCACATTAGCGTCCATTTGCCTATATCCATCCAATTGAAACTTTTGTTTTACACTTCAATATATTCTTTAACACTTAAGACTACATGTTTCGACCTCAAAGGGCCATCTTCAGGTGTTTTATTACATATATTCAGTCAAGACCTTGTTAAAACTGCTACACTGTTTCGCTATTCCATTTCATTTTAAAAACCACATGCTGCTGCCCTCATTTAATTAAAAAGAGATTAAATCCTTTTATAATTTCTTGTTTCACTTCACTCAGGGTGTCGTCACTTCCGTAAAATATATTAAAATATTTTCCCTGGCAGCTTGTTCCTCACGTTAGTTATTTGTGCCTGGTTTTCGTTTCCTCTTCAACGTGTGGTGTTGTCTTTACTACTGAAGATGGCCTTTTGAGGCTGAAACATGTAGTGTTAAGTGTTAAGGATATATTTGAAGTGTAAAAGAAGAGTTGCAATTTAGGCGGATATAGTCAAATGGACACTAATGGAATAACTTTGGCTTATTACTAACTATAATATTTTATGTAATGTGCATTGGAAATAGTTTTATAATACAATCAGTCAGTTGTATATGCTACTTGTCCTCATTAACATATAGAACATTTGCTTATAAAACACCTTAAAATATAAAAATAATTCTTTTCAACATGTCAGAAAGCATCAAAATATACGAATGCGTGAAATTAATAATATGTAAGACATAGAAAGACGAAATCTACAAATAATATGAATACATTTAACATTATGAACTTCAATCATAATATACGAGTATATCAATTTCATGGCCTTAATTATCAGAGGTTCATCAGTTTCAAGATTTTTAGATGGTCATCATGTTGTTATTTTTCTTTCTCAATTCCATAATATGATGATGGTTCAACTACAGAGGTTCTAAAATGAGTATCTAACACAAATGATAAATTATTGTGAATAATAATGAGTAACAAAGTATGTGCAATGATGCATTTATGTCCACACAAGCAACTGTTTTAATGTTTGTATTGAGGGACCAAAAAAATTTATGAGAATCCTATTAGTCTTCAGGCAAGAGCCTAAAGAGAGTACCTCATGTGTAAAGGCTGAGTGCTACATTCTGTACATACCTTGGTGGATATTGTTATTCTTTATTTTCAACAAAATGCTCTTAACAGAAATTACATGTTTTTAATCATTATACCACTATGGACAGAGGTGTTCTGAATAATTTACTGAATGCTGTAACTTTTTTTATTTTACTTTGCTTTTAAAGAATTGTACAGTAAGGATGAAATATTGAGACGTAATACCACATGTTCAGATATAGATAAAACAGTTTTATGTTTAAACTGAAATAGTCTAGTGAACACTGGCCAACACCGCTGACTGACCTAGTTACCTTCACTAAAAGTGAAATGATTAAGTAATTGAATTGAATTGAATTGAATTTATTTACATTCTATAAATCCTAAGTAGGTTAGTACCTTTGGATACAGAACAAGCCAAAAGGTTACATACATAAGTACAGGCAATTTTAGCTTAAAAATTAATCTAACTTAATTTTACATCATTCTCTATTTACATTGAAGTATTCATCTAAAGAGTAGAAGGAATGAGCATGTAGATAATTCTTTAACTCTGATTTAAACTTTTTAGTATCATTGCCCAAGTTTTTAATACTTTGTGGCAGATTGTTGAACACTTTTATGCCAGTAAAGTAGACTCCTTTTTGATATACTGATAAAGTTGATGAGTTGATCTATCATCATTCTGAATTGAATGGCACTGATACCGCTGCATAGCTGTCCTGGTAGAATTCTTGAAAGAAGGGATTTAGGATATGAGAATAATCTCCAAAGATTTTCAAGCAGAATGGCTGATTTGTTTTCTAGTTACTAGATGGGATACATACACAATACAGAGACTTCATACTGTTTCAAGAGGCTGCTTTTCTTTTTAGAAATCTGTCTCACAGTAGCAGCAGGAAGGTCCTACTTATAGCAAGTAGTCCATAAGTGGAACAGTATTACATCAGTGTCTTTTAATGACTCTCATTCTAAGCGTTGGTGGTACTTTCTCTCCTGAGAAAGTCTGTAGGTCAGAGCTGATGTACATACTGGAGCTGCACTAGGAGTGGCTGGCTACATGGCATAAGTGAATGTTGTCCACCATTTGGGAGAATTCATCAGAGAAGCAGATATCTTGGGTAAGTTTGTCTGAACCATCAAGAAAAATATCCTAGTGTGGTAGATATAAAAGCAGCAGTAATTCTTATATTACACAGTGGAAGTTGTTCTATGACTCTGTGTGTATTGGAAACAGCATCAAAGCTGAAGAAGATGAAGCAACTGGGGCATGTATCTTGTACAAGGGAAGAAAAAAATGCATGAAAAATTCTGGTGAGAAAAATTTAGTAGAAAGTACCAGTGGGGAAACCTAGACATAGGTGTAACAGAAATACTGAAATGAATCCTAGAGAACAGAAAATGAAATAATTTGGGCTGGCTCACAGTATGATCCCTATCAGTGGGCTTGTGTGATGCTTAATGAACCTTCAGCTTCCATAATGATGAATTTTATGATTGACTGAATAACTATCAACTACTCTGGGAAGACCCTGTTCCATGGATGAAAGTAGATTATAGAATGGCTTTTCTCCATCTGGGAACTGACAAAACTGTGAGAAAACAAAGTCTGCTGGTACATCATATATTTTTAACTTAACGGCTAAAACAGAGCACAAACTTACTCGAAAAAAAATATTTTAGAGAAAAAGACTAGATTTAAGGAGCCACTGAGTCTGATAAATATTCTTGGAATAGCGTCTGTTCCCTTGTAGTAGTTTCGGCTTATTTTAAGATATTGTAGCATGTAGACCTGTTGCTAAATCATGACTCTGTAAACAATTCCCGTTGCTAAGTAATGGTCGCAACAGTTTCCTAACATGCACCAATGGACTAACTAGGAAGCGTTTTTCTCTATGAGTTCTTGGGATAGCTACATGACACACCAATAGCAGAGCTGTTGGGAGAGAGATTTTCTGTGTGGTCTGTCAAGCAGGATAAGTCTATAGAGTTTAGTTAGTTGTGAGATAGTCGCCAGCCAGTAAGGATGTGAACATGGAAGCTGAAAGATCTATGGAATCGAAAACCATTACCAGACAATGAGTGATGAAGACACAGCAGGCTGAAAAGGCTTAGTACTTGCTGTAATGAACTGTTGAGTCTGTAATACTTGTAGTTACACTCTGTAAGTCCTGTAAGTGTTCAAAAATCCAATTACCAATCCAAACCCCTTCTGTAGTCACTCTATCACATGACAATATTATCCCATCATTTTCCTTGAAACTGAGGAAAACCACAAGAAACCTCAGGACATTTGGCCAGGCTGCAAATTGAACCAAAAACTCTTTCCAGTGTGATTGTAACGGCTGTGCTAAATATTTCATTTTTGTGCATGGAACTTTACTTCCATGCCCAAACCTGTGATGAGGAAGTGCATAGGCACAAAGTTAGATTTACCTTTAACCTGAATGATGTGGTGCATATATATATATATATATATATACATGTGTGTTACTTTTTATTTCAGAAATATGGCACCACTCAAGCTGTATTCTGTATCAGACAGCCCACCAACACTGGCTGTACGTCTTGCACTGAAAGCATTAGATATAAGTTACTTGCTAGTGAATATAGATTTTACTGCAGGAGAACACCTCACAGATGATTATGCTAATGTAAGTAAAGTGCTATAGAGTGAGAAGCTGTAAGGTTTGTTTGTTCACTTCCTTTGTGATTCTGCAACAACCTTTGAGATTATGTAACATTAAAGGAAATATGCTGAGAGGATTTTGAATTGTGAGTGAAAGGGTTCTGGCAAGGAGTTTTATTTTTATTTTCAAGGCACTACTAATCAGATTCATTGCCACTCATCTGATGCCTTTGATGAAAGGCTGTGAGATAGGTTGTACTAAAGTCATCGTAGGAACCTTCAACAGACATTTTTGATGGATTTTTATACACTACATGCAGTTAATGAAGATGATGATGATTACAACTCATTTATTTAAGTATATTTATTTACATGCTGATTTAATGGACAAAAGGCACATTATAGAGTAATGAAATATGGAAACAGACAGACAAAACAGGCATGACAACCATGACACTATGCAATATCATAACAAGAAACTAGAAACAAACTGCAGTTCGGTAATGGCAGTTTGGGGATGTAGTTCAACTACATAATTTTATAATGTTATTTAAATTAAAATGTCTCCCCATCGAAAATAGAAGATTTCAAACTGTACTATAGCAGGGAGACACTGACTGGAGGGGACAATAAATAGAAGAATTATACAAGTTCAGAGTGGAGACATGAATGCTGTTTCAGATGAAGGATAAAATTTAATGTCATTACAGACAATAATAAAAAATAACGCTTTTAAATGAATTAACTAGTGTGTAATATATGAAGATTTAAGTATTCTGATTTATTAGCATAATTTTGTTAAATAAAATAAAGCAATCTGCTAGAAGAAGGGGTAAAAACTTCTTGTATATGAATTAAGGTTCATTAGAATAAGGAACAGTTGAAGAGAGGAATGCAACAGAAACATATTTCAGCTCATATCTAGCCACAGTGTCATACAGCATCAGTAAACTGTCCACAGTGAAAAAGAGAGAGTGGATGCCAACAATTTAACTTTTGAAAAAATAAAATAAATATGATGATGGAAATAAAATTTACAATCAGTAGGTCTATATATGCCTAGGTCTTTGATACAGTCGATTTATATTATCAGGGGGTCACAAAATGTATACTGAGAAATCAGTGTGTTAGTTTCCTTGGTAAAATGAGTAACCAGCTAATACAGAGTTTCTTGAAAAAGTGGTTAAACATCAGGCATGTACACAGATAACATTAAATTGCAAGAGTAGGCAATTAGTGGTGTATTTGATAACACGAGAAAGAATTACATAATCAATAAAAAGATAATTAGAATAGCTGATTTATCATGTAAGCCATAGATAATAATATTGAAAACTGACAGTTCAAAAACTGACCCTTAATAAACATTAAACAAGATAAAATGTCACCAACAACACCTGTTAGTTAATTAGTTATAGAGACAGTAGGCTAAGCCACACATGTTAAGCTTGTGGACAAACAAAGCATATGGACAAGGTCAAAAGCATTATTGAAATCAAAGTGAATGGAATCATCTTGATTACTTTAACACAAAAATTTGATATCAAAATTAAGGACATAACAAAATAAACAGTTGTAGATATAAATTTGATATATCCAAGCTAAAACAATTTTCTTTTGACAAAAGGTATTAAGGATGGCAATATACATAGGCCTGTAATTGTTGAGAGATAAAATACTACTTTTTTTTTAAATAGGAATTCTAGCTGCTAGCTTCTACAAGTTAAAAAACATCCTCTGAGATAAACTGTGCTTAAAAGGCAACGTGAAAACAGATTCAAAATTTTCAGAGTAATCCTTTGTGACAAACATTATTATTATTATTATTAGAGGGGGTGGGTTTCCCCATGCACTTAGACCAGTTATTGGTCCATTGTGCGTCCCCCTTTAATTTCTACTGTCGCCATGTCCTACCGGTACTGGTGCGTGCTATCAGCCCCGTTCAGCCAAGTAGGTCAGCCTTCAGTACCTGATATTTCCCCCATCTCCCAGAGACATTGGAAACTACTTGGGCAGGAAATGGTTGCCTAATTTTGCTCAGAGGTCTCCTAGAGACATGAGGATCTTTTACATGCCATAAATCTACGACACGGGACACACGGCTTAAAGTCCCTCCTGGAGGACTTGTTCCCTGAATTTTTCCGCCCTTAAATATTCCACGACCTCCGCCAGGTTTGAACCCTCGTACCTTGAGTCGTGAGGTGGGAATGTTACCCCTAGACTATGGAGGCCGCTTTGTGACAAACATAGTGTGGGAACTGCCCACATTCAAGCAAGTGTGACAACACAAGCGTCATTGCTTAGCAACGATGAGTTAACAACGGTTGCTAGGCAAAAGCGAGTAAACTGCGGTTGCTATGGAACTAATAAACACGGTGTCCGGCAACAGCAGTACCTATTACGTAACCGTTTTCTGTATGTCCGACTCTAGGTTACATAAGAAGATACAGTGAGTGGATGCCCTGTAAGCTAGGAGAAAGAGGGGTAACCTCTCATCCCAGTCCCTCTGGTGGGATGCAACGACCTTAGCTTACAGGGCATCCACTCACTGTATCTTCTTATGTAACCTAGAGTCGGACATACAGAAAACGGTTACGTAATAGGTNGAGTTAACAACGGTTGCTAGGCAAAAGCGAGTAAACTGCGGTTGCTATGGAACTAATAAACACGGTGTCCGGCAACAGCAGTACCTATTATGTAACCGTTTTCTGTGTGTCCGACTCTAGGTTACATAAGAAGATACAGTGAGTGGATGCCCTGTAAGCTAGGAGAAAGAGGGGTAACCTCTCATCCCAGTCCCTCTGGTGGGATGCAACGACCTTAGCTTACAGGGCATCCACTCACTGTATCTTCTTATGTAACCTAGAGTCGGACATACAGAAAACGGTTACGTAATAGGTACTGCTGTTGCCGGACACCCTGTTTATAAGTTCCCTAGCAACCGCTGTTTACTCGCTTTTGCCTAGCAACCGTTGTTAACTCGTCGTTGCTAAGCAATGACGCTTGCGTTGTCACACTTGCTTGAATGTGGGCAGTTCCCACATCACCCCCCGCGGAGATCGTTGCTCAGCTCTTGAAGCGATCAGGAAAATGTACATGACGTCCGGAATGTGTAGTTCGTTGTACGGGCTGTGGTGGTACGGCATGCGGAACCGCAGTTTGGGTTTCGTTGGCTGCGGGGTTGAAGGTCTTGGTGGTGGTCCCACGGCCTGTCTCGTTTAAAATGTAGGCAGGTTTGACCCTATCGGTTGACACGGTGACGAGCCTGCCGCGCACGAGGATTTGCATTGTCTTGTTCTTCCGTGATAGAACCTGGTAGGGGCCGCTGTAGGGGAGCTCCAGTGCTCTGCGAGTAGTGTCCTGCCAGAGGAAGACGTGCGTGCACTACAGTTTAACCATTAAATCTGAGAGATCTTGATTGCTAACAATCATTCAATAATATTTCAGACATTGAAGTTCCAAACAATCAGGATTTAATGGAAGTATTTCTGCTGACATTCAGCCAGACTGCAAGAAGAATTTACCAGTAACTTTGTTTCATTATATCTGTTACACATGGTAGCTTCAAAAAGTTCCAGGAAAGAAGTTAATAGAATGGCATTGTGATAGCTAGAGTGGTATCTACTCTTGTTTGTCTAAAGACACTCTGCATACAACAGAACTATTCAGTTGCCATTAACAGGAGGGAATGATAAGTACTAGAGGCCAATGGTGTACATTAAAGGATTTGAAATGGAAAAATAGATTACCTAAAGTAGAAGGTTAATATCAACTTTACCCAGGTACTGAAAAAACATGGGGGCGTGTGGTAGTGTAGTTGGTTGAGGGGCTATGCTACAAGCCAGAAGGTCGCAGGTTCAAATCCCGATGAGGCCATCAGATTCTTTTTCAATTGGCCTAATCCTTCCAGCTGCACTATGGCCCTGGGGGTTCACTCAGCCTCTGACAGAAATGAGTACCAGAAATTAATTAAATAATTCTCCTGGGGAGTAAAGCGCGGTTGGCACGTAAGGCTGACAACCTTACCGCCACCTTTGAGCCGCTTGTCTAGATAATGTGGGACCCTCAACGTCTCACAAGCCTATGGGCCTTCACGGCCTGTTACAGGGATAGCTTTTACTTTTTTCTTTTTTACTGAAAAACATGAACTTGAATATTGTAGATGTTTCAGATGTTGTGGGGTAAAGTAGTCTTAGACACTTGAATCGCTTCATATTTATATAGGTGGGTCAATAAGTAAGTTACAAATTGACATGGGGTACTACATGTTTGAATGAGACACTTGAGGCTATTGACACTAGATGGCAGCATTAGTACAGTGGCAATTGATGACATTTGACATGAGACAAACGATATTTACAAAAGCGAAACAGCAGTTGCAAGATGGCGGCGCCTCTGAGTGAGTGTACAACCCTCGAGCAGCGCTCTGTTGTGTGATTTTTGTGGACAAACGGTATAGAATCAAAGAATATTCATAAAGAAATGTTTCCCATCTACAGTGAGAAGTGCTTGTCACATCAAGCTCTTTACAATTGGGCGCAGAAGTTCTCTGAAGGGCGGACACATATCGAAGACGGACACCGTGTCGGCCGACTGTAGAAAGGGAAGTCACTGCCTAGTTCCGACAGCAGCCCAAAAAATTTTATGCTGCTGGTTTTCAGGGGCTTGTGAAACAATGGGACAATTGTCTCAATGTACAAGGAGATTATGTTGAGAAATAAAAGCATTTTTCAAATCAGTACTCTTGTTTGTTTATGTTCTATATCCAATTGTAACTTACTTATTGACTTACCCTCATATTAAGGCCAGCAGTGAATCATTTGAAGAAGACCTGCTCTGAAGATAACCCTCAAGATGATGTTAAGAGGACAATGTGAGAGAGGTGCAAGCAATTGTGCACTCTGGCTTTCAGTTGGTAGTTATCAAACAGTTCTCATTAAATATCTGAAGATGCACTGTGTCTGGCCATGCATAGTTCTAAGAATTCTCATGCAGGAACAATGCAACAACTGCTTGAGTGTAAGTAGACAGCTCATTACTGCAATTGATAATGGTGCAAGCATTCACCAGGAGATTATTATAAATACCAGAATCTGGTGTTCCGTGTAAGTTTACCAAAGTGATTGATAAACTTCATGTAGAACCACCATAATTTCCAAGAGCTCAAAGTTCAGGTAATGTTGTTATAAAAGAAAGTTTCTGTTTGAAGTCATTTTCAACTGACAGTGCCTTGTGTAACATATTTGTTCCATGGTACTAGAGCCAAGAAAGGAAGGTACACCTAAAGGAGGAAATGAAGAATTCTGAAATGTGGGTGGGATTAAGTCCCTTATACTGCGACCACTTCTGGCCTATTGTACCAGCCCCAGATGATAAGTGAGGGTGATTGTGGAGCAACTGGTGGAATGAAGACTGGCAGGGGAAACCGAAGTAATCAGAGAAAACCTGCCCCAGTGCCACTTTGTCCACCGCAAATCCCACTTGACCAGACCCGGTATCGAACCTGGGCCGCCGTAATATGTTGCTGTCACGCTTTCCATCCTACCTTACTTTCCCTGTCTCATTCCATGCTGAAGGGCCTGACCCCTCAAGAATATAACAGAAGGTTCAAAGGTAACATTACAACAGGTCATTTATGGTGACTTCTAGAAATATTTAATACAACTTTGTGAGCACTGGTAAAAGTGTGTAACTGCTGAAGGACAGTATTTTGAAATTAAAGCCCCTGGGTGCCAACAGAACTGTTATATGGCTCCTGCTTCAGAAGTTTTTGAAGTTATAACATTCTTTTATATACAATTAATAGGTGTTTTTACTTTCTCAGAAGAATCCACAGAAGGAAGTGCCATGCATTGATGATGAAGGATTTCTTCTCAGCGAAAGGTATGGTTTCAGGAAAGTAGATCTTCCATTTTGTGTTACTGTTCACTTATGGTACATACCTGATAACTGAAATTCTTCTGTTGGCAGGAAAAGAAAAAAAGACAGGTCTGCAATTATTAAGTTCAATTACACATGTGTCTAGCACTAAGGAAACCTATACCATGTTTCAGTTTAAAGCAAAGTTACATTTTTTAATCAAAGTACTGTACTCTGCATATCACAGTTGCTGTAATAGTTCAGTTAGTATTGTGACTGACTATTGCTCAGATGGACGAGGTTTAGTTCCAAAGGGAAATTTGGATTTCTCTGTTCAGCACAACAACCAACATTAAAGGCATGGTGTCCCACAGGGGTCTATTCTTGGTCCACCCCTTTTTCTTTTTTATATAAATGATCTACCTAAAATTTTTAATAACTCAGTCAAATCAGTTGTATTTGCAGATGATACAAGTTTAGTTATTAGTAGTTATAATAATACACAAGACAGAAATTTTGTTGAAATTTCCTTTGCTTATCTTAATGATTGGTTTAATTCAAAGTTATTAACTCTAAATTTTAACAAGACTAAACATGTTAAATTTATGACAAAGCCAAGTTCTAATAGTGTAACTTCTGTCTTTTATCATAATAATATGATTGTAAGCAGTACAAATGTGAAATTTTTGGGATTAACTATTGAAAGCTCATGTACATGGAAAACTCATATATCACAAATCATGCCTAAATTGTGCAAGGCTTGTTACTCAATGAGGGTGATCAAGCCCATTATGCCCACAGAGACATTAAAAATGGTATATTACTCTTATTTCCATTCACTTTTGTCCTATGGAATTATTTTTGGGGGCAATTTTTCTTATAGTATGCACATTTTCAGAATTCAAAAGAGGATAATTAGAACCATGAGTGGGTTGAGATCTAGTGACTCCTGTGGAGATGTATTTATGGATTGGGGAATTTTGCCATTGCAGTCCCAATATATATTTTCTTTATTGATGTTTGTTGTGAATAATATGGGTTTATATCACACGACATCACAAATTCATGGCCTTAATATTAGGCATAATTTTGATCTTTATCACCCCCAGACAAATTTGACAACTTACCAGAGAGGACCTTACTATTTTGGTATTAAACTTTTTAATCTTCTTCCTTTCCGGTCTAGAAAACCGAAATTAACGGCCATGGGGATTCATTGCACTGACCATGCGACATCCTGTATCTCAAAAAGTTGGCACTAAACTTCGCCGACAAACGGCTGTAACTTGGTCAGTCAGTATAGTTCGTTTGCAGACTAAAATCATGAGTTTTTGTTTAACCATCTTCCTTTAAATATAAAAGAGTTGGTCCATAATATTATGCAATTTAGAGCAGCTTTAACTGCTTTTTTACATACTAAATCCTATTAAAATTTAGATTTATTATTGTGGATTTATATGCATTGTTCTGTTGACTACTTGCTGATTTAGCAAGTTTATGGTGTGACAGATTGTGTATCCAATGGCTTCAGCCTTGTATGGATGTACTGGAATGTGTAATAAATACAATGACTGTGCCCACATATTTTTCTATCAAGTGACTTTATCCAAGCATTAAGTTGATAAGAGAATGAATTTATCACTGCATGATGCTTCATTATAGAGATAAATTTACCTTTTCATGATTAAATATCCATGATACAGGATTTTTCTCTCTTTGTTCCTCCATTTCTTATTGTGCCTAGCACTGAAGTTACACACTTTTAAGACCACGGCCTATTAAGTAGTAAAGATCTTCCAGATTTTTTGCTTAAAGTTTTCCGATTTCTTTGGCTCCTACAAATACAGATCATTATTTTTAACATTTTTCTGATATTTCATTTTTTCAGTATTGTCATTTTGCAATATTTGGCTGACAAGTATAGCAAGACTGATGATTTGTATCCTAAAGAACCAGTGAAGAGGGCATTGGTAAATCATAGACTGGCTTTTAATCTCTCTACTTATTATCGCTACATATCTGAGTATGTGGTAAGTTTGACATAGTTTTTATGAGACTGTGATGGTGACAAATACAGCATTAGTTATAAACAGTGAAATCAAGGGTATGGCTTTCTTTTGCTTAGAATAACTGCCTGCTTTAGCTGATTCATGCTAATGTATTTAAATTGTAGATACTGAAGGTGTTGTTTACAAACTATATTTAAATTATACTAATGTAAAATAATCATAGGCAATGTGTAAAAATGCATAAGAAAGTAGTTTTTATACTGACTGAACCCATGAATCAGCTGATGGATTCAACATATCTGCTGCTACTTTAAATATATTTTAAATAACTGACATTGTGAAAATGTGAATTGGATTAAACTGGCTTAGGATATGATTAAGTGAAGAGCTGAATCGAACACTATGATGAAACGGAGTGGGGGGAAGGGACTCTCAACCTGAATGACTGTGAGTTATCTAAGCAAGTCCAGTGGCAATGCATTTATCAAGTAGTGTGAAATAATACTGCAGTTTTTGCATTTACTGGTGGTAGTACAGTTAAACGGTACAAGATTTTATTAAGTTAAGATGATTAATACCAATATCTTGCCTTTTTTTTCTCACATAGTGGGGGGTGGAGTCCAGTTGGGTCCTCTTGGCACGGCAGCCACTGATTGGGCTATTGTAGCCTGCCCCGGATGATTATGATGATGGAGAATTTGGTGGAATGAAGATTGGCAGGAGAAATCGAAGTACTCAGAGAAAACCTATCCCAGTGCCACTTTGTCCACCACAAATCCCACTTGACCAGACCTGGGTTTGAATCCGGGCCGTTGCAGTGGGAAGCCAGCGACTAACCACTTGAGCTATGGCGCGGCCTTATGTCTTGCCTTCATTTTCCATTATTTTTCTGACTCTATGAAGTTTAGATCAGCAATGACACTTTAGAAATTGAACTCTCTTTTTTGTGACAAACGGTATTAGCCAACAATGACAGCGGGATATTCAGAGTCTTAGAACAGCACCTACTGAACAACAAGACCTGAATAAATAAACCAATAAAAGAATATATAGATCAGCATTGAGGCCAATATCAACACACAGCTGTGAAAGCAGAGCTGAGAAACAAAGAGCAAACAAATAAATTATATCACATGGGTGAAAGTACTGTGAAAGATTGCCCAAAATCATTAAAAGATAAAGTTCTGTTACAAGAGAAGACTGAAAATGAACATGTAAAGAAACAGAGTAATCCCAGAAGAACATAATGAAATGAATACTTTGACCAAGTGAAGTATAACATAGCAGTAAGACAGGTGACATATTGGATACCAAATCTTAGGAGAAATTTAGGAAGACCAAAAATGAGATGGAAAGATGCAGTCAAGCAGGAAGTCTGTATTGATGCAATAAGGTACAAAGCCTAACACAGAAATGAAGAACATTTCTTAGATGTAATAAATGGGAACTTTGCATGAAAAAATGACAGTCTGTATATCTACAGTGCAAATGTATGTACTTTTTTTAACACAGAGTAGCAAATTTGTAGTTGGTGAGGAGAGAATTTGAAAGGTTGAAAGGAGTGATTCTTGAGAGGCATATCTGTAGTTGATAATACATACAAATGCTAAATTGAAGTATGCTGTTCTGAAGAGAACATATCCATTATATGAATGTACAAAGAAACAGTGGGTACTAATGAGATAATGATAGGTGGGTGACTAATTATATTTTGAGAAAGAGAAGTTTATTCAATACTGAGTCATCATAAATTTAATCAGTGTGTGTGAGGGTGATAAGAATACCTTCTATGAAACATGAAGGATCTTCAGCACCTTCAAAAGAGGCTTACAGAGGTTCCTAACCTGAGCCAGATTAATCCAGTCCACAACCTATGTCCCTGTTTCCTTAATGACCGTTTTAAATTATCCTTCAATCTATACCTAACCTTTTCAAGAAGTCTTGCTCCTGTGCTTGATTAACCAAGCACAATATCATTAAAACTTATGGTGGAGCAAAACTTACATATATGAAATTAATGATCAGAATTCTCATCAATAATGAGAAATGATTCTGTTATACTTGCAAGATTCCAATTGTTCTAACATTACACAGTCCATATCAGCAGTCACTTCTATCCACTGCAAGCCTATTGTGACACATAAGTAACATGTACTTTTGGTACATTAGGCCAGAAGTGGCCGCAGTACAAAGGATTTAGTCCCACCTCGCTAGCAATAAAAGAAACATGTACTTTCATTTCAGATGGCTCCTATATTCTTTGCATATGAACGTACACCCCAAGGTCTTAAGAAAGTAAACATTGGACTTTCTGTCTTGAACATGATCTTGGAAAGACAAGGAACAAAGTTTGCAGCAGCAGGTATGTGATTTACTTGTTGAGTTTGTAAAATATTTCAATTTGTATTTCTGTACACTGACACATTGGCAACTACTCCTTTATGCAATTGCATCATCAAAAACATATTTGAAAGTTGGTTTCATGTTTATTTATTGCATTCTGCTCTCAAATTCTACAAGCATGGAACAGCAAGTCTGTGGTGGGAGGTATATTCTGTGATTTAGAAAAGGCATTCGACAGTGTTAATCACGATATATTATTGAAGAAATTAGAATTTTATGGGATTACTGGAAGTGCTAACTTGTTAATGAAATCATATCTTAAAGACAGATATCAAAGAGTCCTTATTGAAGAGAACTCTGTAAAAGTTAAGAGGACCTCAGAGTGGGGTAAGATCAAACACGGTGTTCCGCAGGGGTCAATTCTTGGACCGCTGCTTTTTTTGTTATATATTAATGATCTTCCTTATGTGGTAAATATGTCCTCTTATCCAATTCTCTTCGCTGATGATACAAGTATTATTGTCAACAACCCTAATTCTATAAATTTCAAAGAAGACCTTATCTTAGTATTTGATCAAATAAATAAGTGGTTCAGTACCAATCTTCTAGTATTGAATTTTGATAAAACCCAATATATACAATTCAAAACGACTAATACTCCAGAAATTCCGATAAACATCAGTTATAATAATAAATATATTGTCAATTGTATGGAGACTAAATTTTTGGGTATTACTATCGATAGTGTCCTATCCTGGAAAAAACATATTCAGGATCTCAAGGTTAAATTATGTAAAGCAACATATGCAATTATGACACTTAAACCCTTTGTATCACCCGAATCACTAAAGAGGATTTATTTCGCGTATTTTCATAGCATTATGACTTATGGAATAATCTTTTGGGGAACCTCTTCTCATNTCATGTTAAAGTCATTGTTGAATACATATGTTACTGGTACTTTTAATTTATGGTTTTATCTTATTGTATTTAAATGAAATTTTAATAATGTGTGTACTGTATCATATATCGTTCTTATCGGGTATTTTGACTCTGTTCCAATGATTGGGAACTTAGACTAGTATTTACTTTGTGACACGTTCTATATCCAACAGTTTGTACTTTCAACTCATGTATGGATCAACTGAACTTGAAATAAATATGAATATGAATATGAATAAAATAGACAATGTTTGAAGTTATATATCACATTATAAATTTGCATGGTGTCATGTTAGGAAATATATTCTGATTAAATCTTCTTCATGAAACAGACAGAGAGACCAGATTGAAAAACAAAATTTTGAATAGCATTAGCAATATGATCACCAAAGTCTTAAATAAAAGTTTCTTGAAAAGTATAATGTTAGAAATTTCCCCCCCCCCCCAGGGGTTAAATGAAATTTGATTGTTTTCTTCAACATACAGTTCCTTCATGATTTATGGACATGATATGTTCATGAAAACAGTCATACTTTATTTGTTCATAATTGAATAGAATATGAAATTATGTCAGCATATCTGAACTGACAAGAAGTAGCTCCAGAGTGTTTCCAATTAGACAATGAAAGCAGAAACTAATGGACTTACTTACATTTGCTGAGCAAAGCTCTGATTACAAATTTTAATGAATGATAATAGCCTACATTGTATTGTAGTTTATGTCATCCGCTTTGCTACATAGTAACATTTGGACACATGAACAGGACATAAAGAGTATAATATTGAAGCTAAATATTTCATAAATAATACAAAATCCGTCCCAAGTGCAAACAATATATATTATATGTCCTTGATCTTGTTCTCCTCTACACTACATGTTTCGGCCTCTAACGGCCATCATCAGGTGTATACTCTCACGTAGCTGCTACACTGCACGTAGTTTAAAATTTAAAAAACACTAGTCTTCCCAATTGTTCATTTCACTGTTGCTAACAGGTTTCGATATATCAGAATCTTCCCCGCTGATATCTGTCTTATATGTACAAAATCTTTGTTGACCTACACATGTCAATTTGATTTTCATAAACGGGCACTTTTAAAATCTTCAATTCCAATTTTAAAATTGGGCGGTTGAGTTGGGTATGAGTTGTCTAAGTTTAATTTAGGGAATTCGTTAGCTTCTTTCTTCTGCTATGAGTGTGTGGTGTTTTCTGGCTCAATATGGTTTATGCGTTATTTCTCCCTACAATTTTAAAATTGGAATTGAAGATTTTAAAAGTGCCAGTTTATGAAAATCAAATTGACGTGTGTAGATGAACAAAGATTTTGTACATATCAGACAGATATCAGTGGGGAAGATTCTGATATATCAAAACCTGTTAGCAACGGCGAAATGAACAATGGGGAAGACTAGTGTTTTTTAAATTTTAAACTATGTGCAGTGTAGCAGCTACGTGAGAGTACACACCTGATGATGGCCACATGCAGCCGAAACATGTAGTGTAGAAGAAAGCACAACAGAAGAACTACAATAAATTGGTGCACTTAGGACGGAGTTTATGTCATATATCATAATTAAGACTATTTTTTCACCTAAACAAAATACTCAGAAGGTAATATGATATTGAAGGAAAATAAGATTTATTTCAGTGATGTATTTCTGTAGCTTAGTAAGTGAAAATATAACTGAATATGCATTAATATGTCCTCTTTTTTGAACAGACCATGTGACTATTGCTGACTTTGGACTAGTATCAGCCACTCTCTGTCTAGAAGCTATTGGTTTTGGGCTGGATCCATTTCCTCTAGTTTCCCAGTGGTACTCAAAATTCAAGAAGGACTTTCCAGAACTGTGGGCTGAAGTAGAACCAGGAATGAAGGAAATTCAGGAATTCAACAAAAATCCCCCTGATTTATCCAAACTGAATCACCCCTTGCACCCAACTAAGAAGCAGCAAATATAGAGTACATGAAAGAATTTCAATAGAAGATTGCTCAGAATTATTCATAATGCAAGTGACATATCCCATATATCTACAAATAAATAAAGGGTTTGAATCTTTTACTTCATGAACAGGAGAATGTTCTCTGATATATGGTTATACTCTTAACAGATTCACTGCCAACAGTGATATTCACCCTTAGAGCAAGTGTGCTCCACAGGGCCAATAATGACTAATGATATTACAGCACATCACTGAAATATTGTTATCACCAACAGATTACTGGAAAGCAATAAAAAATAACATGGTATATGTTTTGGGTAATTCAATTCAATTCAATTCAATTCTTTATTATTAATGTGCCGAGTCAACAGCCGCAAGGCCAATTACAGACTCAGCACAGTGTAGATGACTGAATTACATTACATACAAACTTATTAAAAGTCAAATCAGAATATGTATAGATTTTTTGACATATATTCTATACAAATGTTTGTTTTTCATAATGCTTCTGTTAGTCTAGATACTCGTAGTTGTCATTGCTTTAACTTTAAAGCTGCAATTTAAAGGCCAGCAGTGAATATGTTAAACTCAGAATTACACTTTCACAGAAAATTGTGTCTCTTTATGTAATATTACACTATTTAGTGTTCGAGAATAAAAGTAAATTCTCCCCTTGTTCGCTTATTTTCATCTGGATACAAAATTGAATAATATATTTTTAAATAAAAGTAATTTTATGGAACTGTTAATGCTATCTATATAGAGTACTGGTTGGCTTAATCTTATTGAAATAAAAATTCATAGGTTTACATATGAAAGTAATTGCAGTGCATTGTGATAAAGCTCATCGACGTTTCGGAGGAACGTACTATTTCCATCTTTAGGTCAACAAGTAAGACAAGCAAGAAACCAGGAATAAATAGACTGAAAGTTCTGAGATACTGATATTTTAATTAGAATGATATCTGAAATAGAAAATCGGTTACTGCGCCCTGTAAGATACTATTTTCCAGATCATGTTCCATTGTGCTTCTTGTGTCAGACAAGATACACAAGTTGCACTGTCATTAAGTGATGCCAAAATAGAACACAATGCATCACGTATGGCAACATTTTCAATCAAATGAAATTTTTTTAATTAAAGTTCGGTTTGATTTGTTTCAATTCATGGTATGTAATACCTTCGGCTTTAGTTTCGTTTATTAAGTCCCCCTCCCCCCCATTATCTGGCTACCAATATTTACATGCTACACGGTGGATAGACCAACAGAGTAAGCTGTCAGCAAAAGAACGTTCCTACTATCTCGGCCTCTTTTACTGTTTACATGTCTCGCGAAAATACGCCGCTCGAAATGGAAAGTCTGGTTGAAATTTCGTTATGTTTGGTTGAGTCAGATGAAATTTTAATTGAGGAATAATATCAGAACTTTACAGTTTAACTCACTGCCATTGGTGTTTATTTTTAACGTGCACCATTTTAAACAGACTCGCGCAAATGGTGAAGGTGATTGAACTGTGAAATTTTCTATTTGTGTTCAATTAGGAAGCTGTGTTCTACATGCACTGTCTATCAAGATAATATCGCAATATAACCGTTCCAAAAACAGAGATACCATGTATGCGAGATGTTTCCTTTGGAGACAAAACAAACCGGAGGGGCAGATAGAAGTGCCCAGAAGATGAGGAAGAAGACGGAAGAAGATATTTTAATTGAAGGAGAAAGCTTGAGAGCGCATTAAGTGGAGGAACTCTTTTGGAAGAGACTGTGGACCTGTCGTCTGACAGGTTACTGATGAATGAAGAGAGGTAGGATGTTCATTTATAAATCGTTTACGTTTATAAACAGAGGTAGCTCTTATAATTACATAAACATTTCTAAATCAGAGGAGACTTAAACCTGTATACTGGATAAAATTTTGCATAACGTTAACAGAGTGATATCCCACGATAATCTTTGCAGTCAGCTTTAACGCTCTTCTTCTAAATTGTTGCGATAATAAACCCCTTTCGCTGATGACAGAAGAGAAAATAAGCTTTAGAAGAAAACAAAATGTTTGTGGTTTATTTAAATTCATAGAAGGACCTCACAAAAGGCCCACGTTCTCTATATGACCCGAGGAATGGCAGCTGCTGACACCTGATCCACAGAACACATTGCAGGTCAAGGTTTCACCTGGAAAACTGAAGCAAAATTGAACACTTAGCCACGTCAGCATTCATAATACGCAAGGAAGACGCGGTAGACATTTTGCTTTTCCGATGCTTGCTGATATAGTTGGAACATTTGAAGCCTCTCCCCACGAGCTCTAAAACTAGATTCCAGTGCGAAATGCCCGTGTATGTACGCTTAATATCCATGTATAGAGCCAGAGGCGGTTTGTGATTGTATGTGTATATTATCCGTCTAGTCTATGTGTTACGTTGTATTGTTCTCATGCCGCAGAAATTTTGTACTTACGTAGGTGGGAATTCTGTGTCAGAAATTCTGCCTGTATACCTATCCACGGTTCTACTGTTCTGTAGTTGGACCTTGGTAGCTTTCTTTAATTTCTTAATCCTATACACAGTCTGTAGGACTCCTTTAACGGGGGACCAGTCTGTCGCATGGCCGGTAGCTAACACTAGCACAGAATTAACGCACACAGACATCCCTACGTTTGGTGGTATTCGAAACCACGATCCCAGCGTTCGAGCGAGCGAAAACTATTGATGCCTTAGACCGCGCGGTCTGTGATCGTTTAGAAACTGTGCCTACTGAAGAATACAGATGCAGCTTCGCTCGCAAATTTTTGCGTTGAAAGTTACTACAGAAGTAACTGCCCGTTGAATTTCAAAGGACATTTTCACTAGTAAGCTTGTGTAGAATCGGTCACGGTAGCCGAGCGGTCTAAGGCATGTCCTGTCTTCGCTCGCTTGGAAACCGGGATCGTGGGTTGGAACCCCACTCAGGGCATGGATGTTTAGTTTGTGTGTGTGCATTTTTCTGTGTTTGTGTACAGCCTTGCGACGAACTGATCACCCGCACAAGGAGTCCTACCGAATATGTAAGATCTAGAAAAACTGAAGTGAACGGAGAAGTTCATGGAGGTAGGCCTAGGCCCACTGGGGCTGTAGCACCAAAGGAAAAAAAGAGCTTATGTAGATCCGAGCCAACTAGTGACGAAGTCAAGGATGTGTGGATCTATACATCCAGTACCACGTCCATCTTCATGGCGCGGTCTTAATTAATTAAGCACAGGAACAACTTCACATTTTGTGCTTATATAGCTGAATGCAAAACAGTCAATTTGTGTATTTTTAAATATGCTGTAACGAGTGTAGGGGTTCTCATATGTTGGTGTGTACGTGTGTGTGTGTTTTTTAAGGTTCTCATGTCAGTGAGTATGAAGAACTTGGTCCTCTGGGTTTCAGTACCGTATAATTCCGATAAAGCCCCGAATTACTTGGTACTGCAACACAGAAGAACTACTTCTTTTGGCTTATTTTGGGCTTCACCCATCGTCCGGTATATAACAGAAGAACTAACTATTCAAATATAAAGGGACGGTGCGTCAATAAGATGTAGAAATTATTCTACAGCAAGCGGTCTAAGCCTCTGCAAAATGTTGATAGGAAATTACTCTGCCTGACAGAAAATACAATAAGAGACTTAGAACAGACGGTAACTCGGCCGATATATGAACGGGCTCCCGAATATAAGTCAAATCTTTTACAGCTGAGCTAACATGCTTATAAAAACACGAGAAGTTCTGGGAAGAACTTATCGCCTACTCCGCTTTGATACTACATGGACTGCATAGAAAACGACGCTTTTAAGAAACCTTCTCTGCAGCAGGAACTTCTTTACGATACCGACCGACCGAACGACCGCCGCTTCTCAGCAAAGTTAGTTCTGACAGGTAGTGGGTCTGGAACGGGGTCCACTCAGCCTGGTGAGGATAATTGAGGAGCTATTTCAAGGAAACAGCGGCTCCGGTCTAGAAAATCGAAATTAACAGCCGTGGGGATTCAGTGCGCAGACCAAGCGACACCCTCTATCCGCTAAAGTTGGCACTAATAACAGAGGTTACTTACATTAATATTAAACACGAAATATTTCGACCACTATTGGGCCATCATCGGATGCATCTCTGTGTACTTAGGTGCTGGATTTTTGTTGAATATGGATCCATATTTTGTCTTCATCTTTGACTATATGATTATGTAAATATTGCTTAGTAGTAAACCTCTTGTTTCTTTACTCTTCGGCTCTAAGCTGTATTGGTATGGAATTAAATTAAATATAAGTTAGTTAAAATTAACTAAGATTAAAGTTAAAAGATTGTTTGCTACTACACTTTAGTGTGTATGGGTTCTCGTTAAATTGCCAAGTTACATATTTAGGAATAAATAGTTCAAGATGACTGTGAAGGCCTGTTTGACCACAGTAACGGTACACTGGCAATCCCTGTTTAATTTTGCTTTGGTATTGCGGGTATGACGTAGTTGGGGGCCAGGTTGTGATGCTATGGGTCTGTTGCGCCGCACATTCATTCGTACGTGCTATATCTTTATTTATACCTTATCGGAGTGTAGGTTGATATGTGTGTCGTCGCGTTGTTCTGTAAAAGTAATATTGTTTGTGATACGTAGTGTAGTTCACGGCTTGTTCTGTATTGTCATTGAGACTCCTTGTTTGTTATAATTAAGTCATATATTTCATGTGACTGCTGAGTGCTTCGGACAGAGTGAACAGTGTTCAGTGTTCCCTTCAGCTCATTGGTTTCCAAAGTGGATTACGTATGAAGGTGCTGGATGTCGGCTTCTCCAAGCGCATTTTCGCCTATTTACGACTGAACTGACTTCAGATCGGACATTGCGAAACTGGTATCATTTCATAGAATTTACTAACAATGAAGTAGTTGCTAAATGTGTTATCTTGTTCGCATTGTCTTTCTCATTGGGTTCTGAAAACCACTGTTGTGAAGAATGCTTTTTATAGGACAGGGCAGGGGGAAGTGGGGATGAGTTTATGGAAATAAGGGGTCGGTGGATCGCAAAACTTTGGGAACTACTGCTGTAGCCGGATGAGAAATAAGAAAGAATGGAAGAGTCAGTAGGGTACCTATATTCTTCGAATACGTTGTTTGATATTTTTCATGGTCATATCTATTTTTTTATTGCTAGTGAGGTGGGATTAAGTCCCTTGTACTGCGGCCACTTCTGGCCTATTGTACCAGCCCCAGATGATAGGTGAGGGTGATTGTGGAGCAATTGGTGGAATGAAGATTGGCAGGGGAAATCGAAGTACTCGCAGAAAAGTTGCCCCAGCGCCAC